TTGAGGGACTCTCAGAAGATACCCACATGGGCAGTTCAGCACTCACTAGGTCCTGCTGGGTGAATCATGGTGTGTGTGCCATTCAGCAACCTCAGTGGTGTGGGTGGAACTTGGAGAAAGCCCCGGGAAATGTTTGGGTGAGGGCCTGGGCCACCTACCCACTTCTCCCACGTTGTCAGTGGTCCAGAGCTGGTGGGAAGCAGATTTGGGGTGCCAAGGCTGGGCTGGCTGATGCCCTAGTGTCTCCCACCTGGCTTCCAGGCTGCAGGAGATGGAGAATGGGGGCTTGTGGCCCAGCCCAGCTGGGTTGCATGGTTTCTGACATCGCTGCAGCTTCCCAATTGCATTCCATGGATTCTGGGTGGAAATTATTGTGTTCCTTGACCATGAGCCACCCGGCGAGGTGGCTGGTGACCAGCCAAGAAACCAGCTGCCAGCAATGGCGTGGCAGGCCATAGGTGGGTTTCTGAGCTACCATGGGAGGAAGTGAGCTGTCCAGGCTGGGGTACAGAGCTCACAGTGTCCTCCAGTAACCAGGGACCTTTGTCCCTACCCTCCTGCTGAGGCCTCAGTACAAACCCAGCTGTAGTTGAGAATCACCTAGACATTTTCAAAGAGTCTGATGGCCATCCAGGAAAACAGAACTGACGGTTGGCGATGGGCCCAGGCACAGCGTGGCCCCTCACTCAGGAGAGGCTAGCCTTTCTTCCAGCCATGCCAAAGCAGCAATGGGTCCCAGGACACAGACTGTCAAGGACCTCCTGCCCTCATTCTGACCCTGGGAATTTCCACAACTTCCTGTTGCCCGCTGAGGACAGAATTCACCACAGCTCCCAGATCCTTGTTGCTGGTCACATTCTAGCAGAGAGTTAGTGCCATTAGATGTCCTTCATCTCTCTGTGCCTTTGGCATGTCTCCCCTCCGGATTCTTTAGCACTTACATTCCTCTCTAGTGCTGAGATTAAAGGTGTGCACCACCACCATCCAATGTCTATGGCTAACTTGTGTGGCTGCTGGGATTAAAAGCATGTGCCAATACTGCCTGACCTCTATGGCTGACTAGTGTGGCTAGCTTTGTACTCTGATCTTCAGGCAAGCTTTATTTGTTAGATCATAAACAAAATATCACCATACCCGTATGAACAGCTCTCAAGGACACAGGGTCCTCCTCCTGGGGGAGATGCTGTGGGCCCTCAGGGTCCAAGTAGCTCTCAGACCTGTGTGGAGAGAGGTCCTGGGGCCAGTTGGGGGATCGTGGGAGATGGAGGAAGGTATCGTGGTTTCTCCTGGTGATAGAATCCCAAGGTAGCTTTGTGAGGGGACCAGATCCTGGGGATATATTGACATGTTTGATTAAAACACCAGCGCGGCGAGCAACTTGTTGGAAGAAAGAAGGCAAGAGACTAGAGAAAGGGGTGGAGAATGAGAGAACCCTGCTTTGACGTTGGTCCTGGCATGGGCTGGTTAGCAGGTACCTCTGCATGAGGGATTGGCAGTGTGCAGGCACACTCGTGGGCATGGAGGTGGCCTTCCATGATTTAGTGACAGCTCAGTCCTGTAAATTCCCTTCCTACTCTTCCCAGTCCCATTCTTGCCACGGCTTTCTCCTTTCCCTCACAACTGAAAGGAGACAGGGAAAGCCAGCTGAGGTCCCAGCTGGGGGCTTCCTGGATGTTTTTCTGTTGTCACCTTGTACCTACTCATGCTACTTTAGTAAGTTTTCAAAGAGAACATTCTGAGAAATAAAAGACCGGAAGCCTCTGTTTATGGCTCTAGGGTATGGGGCCTCTGACCTAGGGGAGGTACCAGGGCTGGGCTCCCTGTTGCTTAATGAGCAGCGCCTGCTCCCCCCTCCCCCGCCCCCAAGCCTGGGATGGTGGCCAAGGCCCAAAGAATCAAAGGGCTGCACTGTGTGGAACGGAAAGGAAGCTTGTGGACAGTGAGGCCCAGCCTGACACCTGGCCCCTCCTTGGCCAGGGCCCCCCGTGAGGTGAGGTCACAGTCATGTGATGTGAACCATCGATGACTAAATGCCAGCCTGGGCTGCCTCCAGCAGAGGCCACTGTGACCCTGGAAGTTCAGCCTTTTCTTCCCTCCCACTGTGCTGTGAGAGTCTCTGGGGCCTCACAGCAAATCCTACATCCTAGGCAGCTGCAAACAGGACCTCAGGCCTCATCCTGGCTGCCCCAGGGTCCCTGGGATGTGTCCATGTCATGGTAATGCTCTGCCTCCATTTTCACATGGTGTCCTCTGGGGTCTATGATTGCCAAATCCAGGTCCTACCTGGTAGTCCAAAGGGTCTCTTGTTGGGGTCATTGACTGGTTACATTTGCAAATTTCCTTTGCCTGGCATGGCTGTCTACAGGTCCTGGGTGAGGTAAGTATACTTGGCCTCCACAGTGTCCCTGACACTTTCCTCTCTCCCATTAGCCCTGGAACCCTGAAGAGTGTTCAGCTCCATCTCCCAGTTTGTCCTTCTATACCTGGCCAACAGAGCCAAGTTCCAACAAGCACTCTTGTCTATTATACCATGGGCCTGGAGGTCCCAGGCCTGGGAGTCTCCAAGGGGAGGTTTGCTGAGCATAGGAGGGTCCCACCATAGATACAGTGAAGGAGGAGTACTCATATGTCTTCCAAAGAGAGTAGATGGGATTGAGAGGGGCTAGAAACATTAGGGTCTCCCTTGTAGCATCTGACTGGTCTCCATACTCCTTACTCGCTTTTGGAGAGCAAGATGGATGCAGAGGGACCAGTGAGATGGGGCTGGGACAGGTCCACCCAGCGGAGAAGCCAGGCCTTGTAGGGTGCTACCCAGAGCTGTCTCCAGGAATGCCTAGCATCGTTCCTAGAGGATTTGACCAGCTTTCCAACCAGCACAGCTTTGTGTGGACGGCAGGCTTTGTTTCCGGTTACCTGGAGGAGCAGCCTGGGCCTGGATACTGCTATGTATGGCTGGCCACTGCTTACCTGGCAACTTCATTCGATGGATGTGAAAAAAACCAGGGACTCCTCCTGTATCTGGCTCTTTTTCTCCCTAAATTTAAAGTCTTCTTGTGGGCTTTGAACTCGTGACTATAAAGAAGTCGTGAGGCTGTGTTGTCTCTGGCTGCATCAGCTGCGTTGCCACGGGCCCCTCTGGCCTCCAGTCCATCCTCACCTCTCTTAGCTTGGCTAGCTCAGCCAGCTCCTCTGTGGTGGCAGTGTTCCCAGGCTGTGCTGCTGTGTGTTCCCCCAGTAGATAGACTTGGATATATCCTAGGTACTGGGGTAATCTTAAAGTAGAAAGGGGTAAGATGGGTGTGGCTATATGAGGGATTAAGGCTCCTGTTACCACCCTCTCCCTGCTATCACTGTCCTGGCTCACAGGGACTTCATTCTGCCCTGACCAGGTGCAGGTCAGGTGTCTGGGTAGCCTTGCTGACAGTGACCTTGAAATGCAGCCACAGGCTGTGGGTCCCTCCTCATGTTGTGGAAGAGACACTTGTCTTGTGTCAAGTGATAGCTGTAACACCAGGTCAGATCCAGTTTCTTCAGAAGCAATAGTGTATATATCTATATATCTATATCTATCTGTCTGTGTGTGTGTGTGTGTGTGTGTGTGTGTGTGTGTGTGTGTGTGTGTGTGTGTGTGTGTGTAGCAA